CTCATGGCGTCCAAAGTGTTATCACTAAGAGGTTGGACGGGCATGGTACTCTGCAGAAGATGCACTATAGAGGGTGTTAAGAGCGGCTAGAAGGTGTCACATGGTAAAAAAACCAAAGACAACTCTTGAAGAAATAGCAACCCTGTGAACCCACCACACCATGCGGTCTACATGTAGTGCTTTACACACTGAGCCATTGCTATTGGGGCTGCTTAGCAGATAGCTAGGGGCTCAAATCTATACCATAAGAGAAAGGCACAAGGCAAACCACAACTAATTGGTCAACTCTCACTTTGTATGTAGCAGACAAGATTACTGATCAATGACCATGTAAAAATAATAATAATAATAATGTCTACAAGACCACAAGGCAAAAATTCTCAAGTTCTGTGAACTCCCTTCAATAGTCAGCTCACCCAAACATCAACATCTCCAAAAGAAATGCGCCCATTGTGATTAATTGCCGGGTTTACTTGAGAATCTCCAACATCTGGACCGTAGGGGTAGAAGTCCTCCAATGGTATGGCAGTAGTGCACAAGAACATCGACATTAGTAACAGTAACTCTATGAGTGAATTTCTTGACATGATACTGCAGTAATAAAAAAAGCAAAAAAGAATAGTTAATCTCTTTTCTTTGAAAACTTTGGTGCCATTTGGTGGTTTGGATAGTAGCTACACACTTGCTTTGTGCTTTCATGCCGTAGTTTGTCATGTTTGCTAAACTGTACGGATATAAACACTCAAGTCACACATATGCTTGCTTAACGAAAATGTTGTGAGTAGCTTCAACTCCTGCAAAAGCATGTCTCATAGTCACTCAAAAGACAAGTTTAGACACATCAATACATTTTCATAGGCACAGAGGGCATTGGCCACAGTGTGTGAGGAGAGAACATGAATTGGTTACCCCATTTCCATTGCTGAAGGATTAGGAATACACTTGCAGCTGCACTGACACATTAGCCTGATAGGGCCTGGAACGCATAGCACGGATCTACATTCCTAAGACAATTTTCATAATCTCTTTTCTTTGAAAACCTTGGTGTCCTTTGGTGGTTTGGATAGTAGCTACACACTTGCTTTGTGCTTCAATGCATAGCTGAAGGCTTACTAATTATGTTAGCCACCCGTTATTATAGAAAACTATGGAATTAATTCACAAAGGAGCATGGAAGGTCAGCTTATAGTGGTGTCTAGTGGAGCTTGTAAAGCTTACACAGGGACATTTGTTCTACAGAATATTCACAACATAAAAGAGTGCGTGTGTGGGTGTTCCATATGCAGTCATAATTATTATGTACACAGTGATTTGGTTTGAGAGGTAATGGGCATTTCTGAAGGTGGTGCTTTTTGCGGAGAGGTGGTACTTTTTGCTGAGAGGTAGTGCGGGTACATACGCGCACTGCGCATGTGCAAACAGATAAGCAAATACCTGAGGCATACAGCGACGTTGTCCAGCCGCTCCTACTCCCGCAGGTCCAGGCATGGCCGATGATTCACAAGGCGAGCTACACAGCGTCGCTGCGTGCCGCAGGTAGATAGCTGCCTCATGTTGTTTGCTTCATGCGCAGTGCTCGGCACACTGCGCGTGTATACACATGCACGTAGGTCCTCGCACTACCTCTCAGCAAAAGGTACCAGCTCGTACACCACCTTCAAAAGCGCACACTACCTCACCACCTCTCCCTCCGTCAAAAACACCGCCCAGCTCTCACGAAATGCGCACCACCCCCCCATCAAAGTACCACCTCTCACGTCACAACACCACCACGTCTTGATGAAAATATCCTTTTCTTATCCAGTCGCTAATTTTGGCGGTGATCACCTCCCATGTGGTTCTTCGGGGGACAAACACACTCTTAGTATTGCAGCAAAACAATAAAATTGAACATTTTTGTTTGTTAGTAGTAAAACAACTAAATTTCCCTGGCTGTTGCATTAACAAGCCAAAGAAGAAAGCATGGCATTTAAAGCAGTCCTTGTACAAAACTAATCTACAACCATAAATTTATAATTGTAGATTAGGGAGAATCATAATAGAAGAAGTGGTAACTTAGAAGAGATTAGTACATGGGTCATCTAGCAACGAGCCACTCATTTCTCAAAAGCTTCAAAAGTTCAGTGTATAACTACGTATTCCATAATCGCAACGAATAACTGTCTTGAAAAACATTGTCTTCTTCTAACTGCCCCAGTAGCTACCTGGTTTTGAATGTCTAGATATGCCCTCTTGGCAGACTCCGAGTTGGGAAGCTGCTTTCGATTTGCGCGCTTTTGTGGTACCACTACGAATGGGACATTTCCTACACTAGTCAGTTAGCAATAGTGTATAGTGTATTATATACCTGTGAAGACTGTAGCTAGCTCGTGTCAGACTCTCCGCGAGCGGGAGACCCCGAGTAAACGCATACTATCCCAGCCCATCAATTTAGCGGTACAGAGCATGCGCAGTTCGCCGAGGGCTTGCACTTTGCTTTTCATTGTAGCAACCCTATACCTACTGGCATAATAATTATACTATAGTAGGCGAATGCATGGCATTTTTTGCGAGCGGGAGCGAGCACACAATGACTGTATCTGCACGAGCCATCAACACACAGAGCGTGTGTAGAAGTGCGTTATCCTGACGCATGCGCAGGTAGCACAGAAAAAAAGTAGCGCGTAACGAATCCTCCGTCTGTATAAGGCATACTGTTTACCTGTCCTTCTTTACGGGTCTGAGTTATGGAACATCACCAGAACTGAGTTGATCATGTTCGAGAGAGTCCACCGCAAAATACTGAGAACGATCCTTGGTCTCCCAGTCCGCTGCAACTCTAAGGCCCTTCTGCACATGACAGGAACCCTCAGTATCAATGCCTTCATCCACCAGAGACAGCTGAACTTTATCCACTCCTTCACGTTTCTACCCCCTGACTCGCTACCCCTCCAGCTACTTCGGAAACGGCTCGAGAACCCTTTACCAATTGGGTTGATCCCTGCTATCCAGAATACTCTGGTCCACCATGGACTCCCCCCTATCAACGTCATCCTTGATGGCCAGTGGAGCCAGGGTGGGTGGAAGAGGACAGTGAAGCGATTACTACTAGCCTCTCAGTACGCAGACTTCATGACTGAATGTGACCACATCCCCCTCTCACAATGCACGGAGGTGAAACTGGGCAGGACCATTCCGCATCTATCCATCTGTCACGGCTTCCCACGTGTGACCAAGCGCAACATCACCAGGATCCGGCTGCTTGTAAAAACTGCCATGGTCTCGAGTCGGATACCTGCAGATTCCGGCACAGTGTCTCAGAACCTACCTGCAGGCTCTGCCATTCTGGACCAGAAGATATAGAACACTTTATCTCTCACTGCCCCGCCCTCTCCTCAGCCCGTATTCTTCCGCCACTGCTGGCCGCCTCGGAAATTGCGTCGTCATTGGAATCGGACCCGACCGGTTTTGCAGAGTACATCCTCGGCAGTCGTGATCGACGATCGCCTCTACAGAGCAGATCGTCGAGTTTATTCGCAACCTGCACACTGAACGTCTTCGCCATCAACTTGCCCTCACTCAATCGCCTACCCCATAGGCTACTCTCCTTCAGTGGAGGTTATAAAGAAGAAGAACGAAGCCGCGCATGCGCACGTACACGACATACGCGGTCGTATAAAATCGCGCTGTTTGGACCACTAGGTTAGCTCGCTCCCGTTTGCTAATTAGCTGAAAGCAGCTACTCTATGTTCATATATAGTACTTTGATACAAAAATTAGCGATCCTAGCCTATTTACAACTTGAACCTTAGAACCACGAAGATTGGAAAGAGGTATATACAGCCTCGGTCAGGTATTGAAGAGCGCAGCGAATGCCAGCGAATAGACGAGAGTTCTTTCGCTGAGATTTCGCATCGATATGACAGCTAGGCAGCGTGTAAAGAATATGCGCGTTCCCTGCTCAGGAGTCTCACTGACACGATGTTCTCTTTCCCTCTCTCTTCGACGACGAATGGCATCCTCTCAGACTGATGCGAGAGTACGGAGCTACACACACGCACGACACATCAGGCAGCATCATTTCGGATAAAAAGAAGCGCGTAATCCTGGAGCATGCGCACTTACACGACGTACGCGGGGTCGTATATAGAAAAATCGACTCGCTCCCGCTCGCCAATTATACACCAGTGATCAGTGATCTATGTGGAGTGTGTTGGGTCAAAAAAGGAGTTTTCTGGCGAAAGCTAGGGATATACCACCAGCAAACATGGCAGGCACAGCCACAAATGAGGCCAGAGAGAGAAGAGCTAGTCCTGATAGCCCATGACCACTGCAAAAGCAAAAACCCAATCTCAGTCGATGCGATTCATGTATTATACTCCTTAGCTTTTAAGTTCAACCATAGCTATAGGGCATATTAACACTATTCGTCTATCGATATTCTAGCTATCTGGTACACCCAGATGCAAGTCTGGCTCCAAACAGCATCAGTACTCCTACAATAAAGGCCACCGAACTTGAGACATCTGTTGACACTCCCCACATTCCTACACCGGGCCAGGAGTGATTTAACAAATTATTGTTCACGTGGTGTATAAAAAAGCTATATTATACCTACCTGACATGTGGGCAGAGAGAGCTGCCCCATCTGCTGCTCCTCCCCAGTAGAACACCTATCAGAATGTTCACATCGATAAAAAAATAAAATATTAACATTTGGCAAACACTTGGCATATTATGTAGAGCTAGCTCATATTATGCAGTGGTAAGCGGGGCAGAGTTGTCACTGTGTGTTTTCAGAGGTCTAGTGGCCTAGAAGTGGTTATATACTTGTGGCATGACCTTTCAAAGCACATTCTCACTAGTTGGTGGACAGAGTGTAAAAACAAACAAATAGCTAACAGAAGAATATTTATCCTCTGCACAATAATATACATGTCCAATATCTTCCTCACTGCACTGATGGCCTAACATGTGGAAGCTTTAGCTATATAGTTACCTGCCACCATGAGGAGAGGCCACCTCGACTGAAGGAGGAGAAGTACGGGAGGACTTGGGAGAGTCTTCTGCTGCTGTGAGAGAGGAGGGTGCAGTAGGAACTGCTCCCTCCGAGACTGTCTCACACTGCTAGGGCCACCGGGAGCTGCATCGAGCCCATGACCAGACCTGCAAAAGAGAGAGAAAGAGAGAGCAATAGGGGTCATGGTTAACTAACACGCGCTAACAAAAAACTGATTGCCGAGCGCATTAGCGTGAGGCAACTACTCCGGGTTGTATTCTCGCGATGTGCGTACATACGTACGTGTCGGTCATGCTTAAACGTGTAGTCCGCGTATAAAAAGGGGCGTGCCAGGCAAAAATCGATTAACTTTAGCGCACACCGTGACAAAATGGCGGTGTTCAAACTACTGTCTCTTCACTTCCTGAGCCGCTGGCTACCACGCATCCATTTCCACGCACTAAAACACGCTGCGTTTGTCCTAATAAAAGCCTCTCAATGCTGAATCAGCGCTTCATGCGTTACGTACTTGCACATGAATGCGCTGAACAGCGCTTCTTGCGCTACTCGCACATGAATGTCTGTGCCTCCAGCGGCCAAGAAACCGAGGGCCGGCGGCCCACGTTTGACTATCCAGCTAACACTGACACGATGGCAGCGTTCAAGGAGCGAATGGAAGCTCTAAAGCCCGCTCTCGCTCCTGCGGGAGCACCTCCATTGAAGCCGGTCGAGCTAATGGCGAAGCTCTTTGACATAGCTGATATTAATTATCTTGTTCTTTCCTGAGGAACTAGCCCTAGCCCTAGCCCTCAGCAGAGTCCTGAGGAACATCCTTGGAGGAAGACTGAGCCATACAGCCAGCTTGCACACACTTCACTATACGTATTATATACACGTGTCACGCGCGTGCGCACATTTTATTACCAATCCGTGTTACGCACCGCAGCTATGTTGTTCCAGCGTTGCGCTAGCGGTACAAACGAAGGCTCCATACACTTGCCTTCTGGTACGTTTTTGAATTTTACCGCCGCCATGTTTGTGCCAGGCACCGCCCCTTTTATACGCATGCGCACGGAAGCGACTCCGCCTCTGCAATTGCGCGAGCTAGCTGTGAGCGCGCAAGAAGCGCTTAGCAGATATTTTATCCGCGGACTATATACACGTTTAAGAATGTCAATTAGTCACCAAAGGGAAGTGTAACTTCCGTCATTCGTAGGAAGTCTGGCTTCGCGCGCAGTCAGTAGAGCGCGCGCACGAGCGGCCTCAGTCGGACTGTTTACGCATCATTGGCTGGCAGGCGCGAGGCAACACACCCAGGACAGCTCTTCTTTTCCAGGAAAAAAGAAGAGCTGTCTGGGTGGGGCCACGATACTCTGCTGTACACAGCTACACAGCTGCATAAGACCATTCAGTGATAGAGGACTGGCGAGCATAAAACGAGGAAGCATTAGTTTGAGTATATAGCTACAACCTTACCTGCAATAATAGGTGACCACGACTTCTGGGCCAATAGTCCTGTGGCTGGTGGTGATACCTGGAGGAGAGAAAAACTAACAATACGTTCCAAAGATGCAAAGAACTATATATGTACACTGCAAAGTCAGACCACTCACGCTCAGGTGCAACAGAACAGAAGGATCAAAATTAAAAGGGAATGTGTCAGTATAATGTAAGGGCTAAATTAAGAAATATTACTAAAAGCAGAACTGTAAACAAGAGGGCCCAGTGCAAGAAGTTTCGATTTTTAGTAACAGCCCTCATTCCCTCTAATGATACATCATAACCACTACTATAATAGTCATGTGTTATCTTAATGCATGAATATACACACTTACTGGGACAGAGTCGGTAGTCCAGGGAACAAGTTTCTCAACTCCCAACACTATGGCTCCAGTCAGTAGTGCTAGACCCACTGCCGTAGGGATGTAGGGGACACCCAATATCCGGTCCATCCTGTGAGAGGAACACCAACTCTAGTTACCAGTGAAAAAGCACCAATACGCTTTAGCCTTACAATGTGTCAATGCCAGTTTCGTGGAAACTGTTGGTATTTAAAATGTATTTTAAAAATTGCTCTTTCTAAAATTTTTTACATTCTATCAGGAACAAGCTATCTGTTGAAGTGTTTGCTGCATTTTGCAACGGTTTTCTCTCTGGGAAATCTCTAGCAACACATCAATAAGGAAGAGGGCTCCCTCTAATTATACACACAAAGTGACTCGGAGATCATTTCATACCAAATGGACTCGAGCAGGTGAGAATGTGACTTGTTGGTGATGTGTCTCCTCAGAACTGGCTCCACCACTCTGTACACCAGAGCTCCAGTGAAACACCCCAGCAGAGTTACCACTGTGGAGTCACAAGGAAATGAAAAGCACTGAAGATCAAACCCTCCGCACACCGTAACACATAAAACCAAGTTCCGTAACCCTTGCTGCGCATGCATGCTGAGGGTTAATGATTCCTTGTTATTAAGTGTGCCAGTACACTAAGGCCGAGTAAAAGTTTCTAAATTTAGCCAAAATAATTACTACCACATGCTGGTGTGTCATGGATGGAGTGTGAGCACAATAGCTATGTATGTGATAGAAATAAAACTCACTTCCTTTCTACTGTCCAGAGCTAACCTGTCCACCACCATTCCTGGACACTGGAAGTAGTAGAGACAATGTGTACATAGCACTAACAATACAGAGCCATAAAAGGTATGCACCCTACTTGACAAAGGGTTGTTAAGTATAAGTAATAAATACACACATGCCTAAATAAAATGCGTGGCTAACGCAGCTACTTTATAAAACACCCTAGCTCAATTATGCTGAAATGCCATACTTTTTTGGACTATTTACTTTGTTGCAGGACACTGCATGGCATTACTATACTTGCATTGAGAATTAATACAGCTCAACGCAGAGTTGCTCATTTAGTATAAAACTGGACACACTGGTCCCGTAGCTGACACTCCACTAATGTTTTTCTTAGTATAGTTAGTGTGTAATTCAAACTTACAGCTCCAGAGACGGTCATGCCCATGCCCAGAATGAAACCTCCAATAGCAAATGCCACCACTCTCTTGGCACCGACACATCCACCAAACTCAACCCTCACCTATATCATACGTAGCATTCACACAGACATGTATTACAGGCACACACATAATGTCTTAGATTCTATTATAGCAGAGGTTGCTGAGTACGTAATGGTATTATGCACGACTGTGACAATTTTGGTGTTTGATGGCAAGCTATTTTTATTTGGCCAAAGTTTACTACAAAGCACCCACATAATGTGCATGTCACAACAACTTGGTAACGAGGTAGAAAGGCGACACCATGAAAAAGTTGCTAACCTGATGAAAGAGTGCACGAGTAGGAGGCAGCAGGTAGAGGATCGAGAACATTACAACAGCTGTAATTCAGCATCACAAAAAAGAGAATTTACTAATTGATGCATAATCATCAAGAAATTGGCTCACAAGAGGTGACTGCCGCGAGGAATGCCTTCAACATCGAGTTCTGAGCAAACTACTAAACTACAGTCGCTGGAGGCTTGTGATGTCCCGCAGCTCCGTTGGTGATTGCCCCGAGGGAGACTCCACCGCTGCGGAACCTACCAGAAAATGGCAATCTGCTTGCTTCCATACCTTGCTCTGTGCCCTACTCTCTGGTGGCAACTGCACAATAGCCGGGTTTTATAGTGTTCTTGACTGCTGTGTGTAGTGCGTGCTCGCGAATGACTGGTCGTGACTCTCCTGTTGAGTTGTATAATGGAATACAACAAATTTATGACAACCATCATAGTTATCAGCTACTCACAGTTCATCTTTCTTATTAACATTGTCATTGTCTGGTGTAGGCTCATATTTGTAAAGAGTCCACGTAAGGGACTCCAACCTTTGTTTGTTTTGAAATGCTTCATCTCCTATGCACACCTGGACAACAAAAATTAACATGTCATTATAATATCACTGACTTGATTGGATCATGAGGTTGGATACCACCTTCTTCTACACCAATGACCTAAACTATTCAATTGATACCCCTACTACACTCTATAAGACGCTGGAAGGCAGCAAAATAACAGTGTATCCCTATTTTGCATGGAGGGGATGGTGTGGATGGTTGGTAAGTTACAATGTCTATGCACAATTGAAATAAGAAACACATCAGTCGTAAGTTGTTTGACGAAACTGAGATAAAACTGTCTCATTCATCTCATCAGTTAGGTAGAGGACTTAATCATGTCATTAACACCAACACACGTTCACACTATAGGCTAGCATGAAAATAATTCAGCTGGCAGCTGATCACCTACATAATTTGTGTCAACATCCTCAACCTAGGAAAGCTTACCATAATTATTATAGGTTGTCCAGGGGCAACTCTAATCAACTCACCTAGTTCAGCATTGGAAATGCCACTGCTACTGCTGCTGCTTTCACCTGCAGAAACAGAGACCACCTAACACCACTGCTCGTCTCTATTATAAAGGTGAAAAATTCACATTCCAAGAAATAATACTTAAGCTATTATTGAGTTTCACTCTGCACGAAGATGTGTACAGAAGGTAATGTAGAGAAACCCACCTACTGTCAGGAGTTGAGTCCAGCCCTAACTCAGTCACTTTTTTTATACTGTGCAAAAACTCAACGACAATAATTTCCTTCTTGAAGTAAAATCCAGTTCTAACAACCAGTGCTAACAACCAGACTAACATTCACATAAACAAAACTCCTAGACAAACGCTGCATTCGCTTCTTGGAGCATATTAATGGCTTATCAACCAGACTATATAACATGCACATAATATCAATCTTTTGTTCCCTCTCTATATAGCATCTATTTATTCCGTTACCATAATCTTCCTCGTCCTCCTCTTCCTCCTCAGGCTCACATTCTGGAGCATCATTAGTCCACTCTCCGTCAATCTGACACTTGCGGGTGGTCTCTCTACTCAGTTCAAATCCATCTCCACACTCGTAGACAGCTTTATTAGGATACACACACTCGTCATATGTCACTGTTCCATTTGTGGGGTTTTACAGTGCAGGACACTCCACAGCTGCATACAAAACACTGCATTTGTATTGTTTGGTATCTAAATACACTACAGCTAATAATGTACGTAAGGGGTTTTATAACAAGCGGAAAAATCATTTCTTCATAATGAAGAGGGATATAGGGATGGCTAGAAGCAACAAAAAAGAAGAAACAAGGGGTCATTACACAGCAAAGTTGCACAAAGCTACATGACACCATCCCTATATCTTTGTTCGATATTAATTACACTTTGCTTATAAACAATAAAATAAATATATTGGGATGGTGTCATGTAGCTTTGTGCATCATTGCTGTGTAATGACCCCTTGTTCTTCCTTTTTGGTGCTTCAAGCCATCCCTACATCCCTCTTCATTTTGAAGAAATGATTTTTCCACTTGTTTCCACCATTTTTAACAGCTTATGACAACACTGCATTTTATTGTTACAGTCACTCTGATGTTCATGGGTATGTTGTAGATAGGCTACCATGGGACAAAACTCTAACTGTTGAAAGCAGTAGCTAATGGGCTGCTAGTGCCTGAAGCGGGGCTACGTAGATACTTAATGTATTGACCCTCGGCGCGCATGCGCAGCGATGGTTATCGTTCGTGTGTCCGTCCGTCTGTCCGTCTGTCCGTCCATCAGTTACCAAGTTTTCTGCCACTACGCGCAACAAACAGCGACACCAACGGGTTCAGCGCTACACTGGCTTTATTTTAAATTGCCGATTTTCATTAAAGTGCTGCGTTCCAGAAGTTATGGCGTGAAAACCTAGTGAACAAGCCAATATGCAGCACTAAAGTGCAAACCCTAAACGAACTGCGCATGCGCGCTACCACTAATGATGGGCTGGGCTACAGGCGTTTACTCGCGGTCTCCCGCTAGTAGCTCGCAGAGAGTCTGACACGGGCTAGCTACAGTAGTAGATAGCATGCGGGGGAGGATACACACCCTCCACTGTGGCTTCTTGTACCTCCAAGGTAAGCGGATCAGGTCGAGGTGAGCCAGCATACCGCGTCTAATACACGCATGCGCACCGCTTATTGATGGGTTGGGCCACGCAACGCTGTCCGCGACCGTGCCAACGCATTAATGAAGACACGCGCTCAGCGCATTGGTTGCCTAGCGCATGCTCGCGGCTCACTGATGCTGAGTTCGCAGCAAAGGGCGTCGTGTCGACCATTGAAGAGCTCCATGATCTACCGTAGTGACTTGCGGCAAGAAAGAAACGATCGCTTGATGTCGTTACACACCTTCGGCGAAATTGGAGACGTTCAGTGAAAAAATCAGTGCTTCAACTGATACTGGTAAGGAGCGGGTTTGGAACCGATTTTAAAGACCCGCGGTAGCACTGACGGGGCCAAGCGTTTGCGACGAAAAACCAGCTTCTAAAAATTTCATATAATCGGACGGTTTCAAGAGTTCCTGGTACTGTTCGAGAGAAAGTCGGGCTCCGAGAGAGCCCTTGCACCGGCAATCGAAACCTATTGCTGCCATCGATGGCAACACCAATGACCGAGATTGTAAATGGTTCCTTTTGCTAGAATGGTTGCGTCAGTGTTTTATAGCCATGTCCCCTTGCATAGCGCGAACATTACGTATGTAGCTAGCTAGCTACGTCGCTATTTTGGTCACTCCTAGTTGCATTCCGGTTTCTTGTCAGGGCCTTTTGAGTAAAGATGCGGGCGGGCGGGTTTTACTCATTAACCCTCGGCGCGCATGCGCAGCGAGGGTTACAGTAGTTGGGTTTGTCTGTCTGTGTGTTACTCTCAATGTCACTTCACGGGTGTCTGTTCGTCCCAGAAACGATACCATCTACCCAACAGGCGACGTTGCATAGCTAAAGCGCTTCCACCATTGTACGGCTAATGCGTAGTCGGCCATATTTATCGCTGCGGAAAATGCGCATGCGCTTATATCCTCGACCGGGTCCGCTTGCTCTGTGTATCTTGAAGGCACAAGAAGTCACAACGAAGGGGGTGTATCGACTCTCGCATGCTATCTACTACTGTAGCTAGCCCGTGTCAGACTCTCTGCGAGCTACTAGCGGGAGACCACGAGTAAACGCAATAGCAGCCCAGCCCATCAATTAGCGGTACCGCGCATCCCCAGTTCGCCGAGGGTTTGCACTTTAGTGCTTTTCATTATGTCATTAGTCGACTTATGACCACAAAAACTCAGAGTGGGAAGACAGTCAAAACGAGTTTTGTGCAAAGCCAATTAGTACTCACAGCACAGCTTGCGCAGTTTTAATAATGACCAAAACTGCGTTCTCTTGAAATGGGGGCGGCGGACTAGATCACCTGGTTTTCGATGTCTCAAGACACCACAATGTTTCGCAGAATTGTGCCACACCCCTAATTGACCCGCACGATTATATTATTCATTTTGGGGCTGAGGTATAATACATTGCGGTCCATCTCCAAGTTGTATATAATTATTATACCAGTACACCACATGGGTTGTATGTTGACAGAGCGCGCGCGAGAGTTACTGCTGTCAATTTGCATGCGGACAATCATTTTTGGCCCAAGGCAGTTAGTAAGCTGGTGAATGACATTGTTGCGGTTGCTTACGATAATAATTAGCTACACCTGCCGACAGCCTTCCAAGGTATGGACTTCGATGAAAAAAATCCAAATTCTGCCCTGATATCAACCACCACACTGCTCTCTCACTCTGAAGTTTACGAGGCTACTAGCTACGTACCTAGCTATACGGCGTCGAGAAACGTCGGCTATTAGACTAGCGACCCTGTTAGCTGTCCACGTAGCTATGGATTTTATCGTCTCATATAAATGTATGTTGAAGATGTTACCTACAATAGTAGCTAGGGTTCACAAGCATAGCCTTTTGGGAGGCTGGTGAAAAAAATGCAATTCATATAATTGTATGTATTCATCCAGCAGCACACTTGCCAAAAGGTTGTAAGTGACAATCTTTATTGTACTAGCAGACGGGCGGACGTGACTGGTTCGTGACAGGGGTCCTGCGTTCCATTATACGGGTGCGCGTTGGTGTGCGCAGAGGTCGACGTTTAGCGTCCGTGGTCAGGAACTACACTTCCTGCCGTAGCATGGCACGCACGCACGCACACCAGTCACCATGCCAAGCCAGGACCATGCAAGCATATACCTTGTCGGTATAATGAACCGCGTCGCTACACGTACGTACAACCCGCCCAGTCTGCGCGCATGCGTAGAAGAACGCGAGTTGATACTGGCGCGCATGCAAACTCAACTGTGTGCACACACTTAAAAATTGCAATGGGTGACAAGATCTAAAAAGAGAGTCGATAATAATGGCATGCTATGTCTAGCTACGTCCTAAGCAGCAGGATCTCTTTTCCCTTTCTTCATCCTCATCTTCGTCTATATCTAGTGTTATAGAGGGACTGGTTGCTCTCATTGTATGTGGCTGTGTTTGGGAGATAGTGAAACATAGTGTCTAAATGCCTTGTCCCTTACGAAATACTGAAAGCTTAGCAAGTACTAGTTTCAGACGCTTACTAATAACAATATTATATGTGACAACACCAAATATCACACAAGGTTGTTGGGGGATATTATTTGCATGCTGTCATAATACGAGCTAACTACATTTTGTGTCTTTTCTAACCACCTGTTTTGTCATGATGTTGTCCCGATAAGCATAGAAAAAGCCTGCATAGAATAAGATTAAAAACCAGGAGATGACCAATGTAGTATTCTTCAAGTAGCTATATACCTCTTTAATATTCATTTCTGGAGAGCAACAAAAAAAAGCAATGCGCTTCATGAAAGAAAATTGTGTTCCTGGCCAGTTCCGCCGTCCATGTCCCTGACCTGTCTTCTGTCATGGAGATCAATCTTGTTTCAACCAAAACCCATCTCTGCATCTCCTACATTCTACCGGGGAAATTCAGTGTTGAAGAAGAAGCTAAAGTTAAAGCATCATATAACAATGGGACAGTGCACGATACAGCTCATAATAAGTAGAAGGAAAGGTGTGGATATTGAAATAGAGAGAATAGGAAAAAGGAGTGATAATGTAGAAAGATGAGGAGGAAAAGAAGCACTCTTAGCCCTGAGGGAGTCCTAGCACTTTCCTCCTTCTCCCTCTTACCCAACCCTTTCCCCCCCCCCCCCCCCCCCCTCTCCCCCCTCCTTTCCCCCTTTCGGCCACATTCTCTCGCCTCCCCTCCTCTCTCTCCCCCTCTCTTCCTTCTTTCCTCCCCCCGACTATCTCGCCCCCTAGGAGCTCTTTCCCCGTCTCGTTCCCTCTTTCCGCCCAGCCCCCCCCCTGTTTTTTTGGTCGTTATATCCTTCATCCATTCCCCAGATCACTCCACCCGCTATGTTTTCCCAACCTTTCAGTCTTAACACCACTACGATCTTTTGCTTGCCTCCCCCCACATTATTACTCCGCTTTTGCCTCTAGCAGATGAAAGCGGGCTCCTCACCATGTGTTTTTGCCGTGATCCAGTCAGAAGCTGCTTGTCAGATCTCACGGATGAGTTACATCATACATGCACAGGACACCCTTTATTGGTAAGTATAAGTATAGTAACATCTTAGCTAGCTACTGACAATGAGTAGCTAATATATATATATATAGATCTTGCTCACCAAACGGATATAAACAAGAGAATTCGGCTATGGATGTCTGCTTGCATAGCACATTCCCGAATTCCCAAAACACTCTCTAAAGTGCATAGCGACTATATTATAGTGAGTAAATTTTCAGATACCTGAGCTCCTCGAAAGTATGCCTTGTAAGTGCATTGTACTTCTCCGGTCCAGCACGATCTGCTGTGAATAGAAGAGAGGGGAGGAGAGTTGAACTAGGCTCATACCAAACTCCCATATGTCCAATGTCCTAAATACGGTGATTGTTGTGTGGACGCAGTCTTTGTACAGAAATCCAGACATAAGTATATACTGACGTAGACACAGGCCAACCAAGCCAACAGTGTAAACATGTCATATAGCAATAGACTACAGTTAATAACTGAATCATAATTACATCACGAACTGCATAGACATAGTCATACACTATGACAGTAGCTATAATATTACACATGCAGTTTAGTATCACTGAATACACTTCATTTCATACCTAACCTGTGAACATCTTGACAGGCACAATTTTCTCCGTTGTAGACTCTCAGATGCACATGTCTCCCCACATCTGACTGCGCCCACCATTAGCAGCTTCAGCAGCGGTTATCTCGTGGAAACAACAGCCACTCTCGGGAGCGGTGTGCCTCCTTGCGAGCGATCTGACTCGAGCGGATGACTCTTCGACAGTCCTTCTCCTCTCCCGCTCCTTGTGTGCGTGACTCTACGGGTGAATGCAGCTCCCTCTAGTAGACTCTGTGTGTAAAAACTGTCCTCCCCACGAAGACTTTCAGCAGGTCTGCACCAAACTTGCTGCTGTTGGTCGACTTCTTCCTCATCGGTGACGTGCAGGGCACTTGATGGCTAACTGGTTTCAGAGGTGATCATCGCTGGCAATCGTCTCAATTGCGCAGCACGTCGTTCTACTCTACCGGGACTTCTCTGCAGACACCGGGGCTCTGGTGAGGGATTGGTTGGTGTCGATCCGTGGGGTTTGGTTCCTGCCTCGTCACAATTTGTACCGAGAGAACACCAAAGGAAAAGATGTCCAGCTTTGCCGTGTATTGGGGAGGGTTACTGAATGTCTGCGGGGACATGTAATTGACGTTTCCTGGGCATATGGTAAGGGAACGGTTGGGGTTGACTGAATCCAGCTTGGACATCCCAAAGTCGGAAACCTTTACCCTATTTCCAGCCACCATCAAAACGTTGTTTGACGAGAGGTCGCGGTGGATGACGGAATTCTCGTGCAAATACTCGAGAGCACGGCCCACGTCGATACTGATGTTCAGCTCTACGTGATAAGGAAGTGGCTTCGTCGGGGAATGCTCGAGGAACTTTGTGAGGCTTTCACCGCACAGTTCCATGATAAGAACGGGAAAATTCGTGTCGGAGCGGATGATTGTTTGGACGTACTTTACGACGCAATCGTGACTTAGGGATTTTAGGCGCTCGCACTCTGCCCTGAACTTGTCGGTGTAGGTCGCCGTTCCCGGATCGTGTGGGTCAAGCAGAAGTCGGTGGAGGACCTTGGCGGCATACTCTTTCTTGTGGTACTTGATCAAGTAGACTTCACCGTACGATCCTACTCCCAGTTTCTTTACTTCTTCGTAAGGTGCTCTACTGCTAGCCATTTTGCTCTGTGACAAACAATTAGAGGTAGCTAAAACATTATCTGTACGCGTTTGGCGCTTTTTATCATGCTATAATTTTATGCACAGCCCTATCTTAGACATTTTGCAGTAGTTCTTACCGAGTAATTCAGGACAACATTGAGAAATAGCTTCCAAATTGTGATCGATATGCGGCGGTAGTCCGTCCTATTTCACGCGCGAGGAAGAAATAGTCGGGACGTCAGCATCGACGACATAACCCTCTGCCCAATCAGATTGCAGAACGGCGTGGAATTATGTAATCAGTATGCGCAGTTACGCCATAGTTTAGTTGTTGAGCCTCCTGACGCTTTCGCTAATACGGCAAATGCTTGAGAGAGTTCCTTATCGACTGCACTGGTGCAAGCCATCGCAGGGTTAGTAGTGTACAGCTGGTAACGGAGCTAAGAGCGTTCCCCGGACCCCACAACGTGGAAAAGTTAGGGTGTTGTGTAACCACCGCATTACAGGGGTATATATTATACAGGTCGTCGATGCTAACGTCACCTGACTATTGCTTCCCCGTGAAATAGGCAGCCCGCCCGACTAGCGCGCGGCGGGCGACTGGGTACGCGCATGCGCATTATTGAAAGGTCGTTTCTAGGGTCGCGCTTTCATCTCTGCGCCACCGGCTAAACCTTTACCACACCACTGCAGCAGCACAATACTGACAGTGAAAAACCAGTTTTTATGGCGTCGTCGGATACTTTAGCCAACGACGTCAGCTTTATAAAACCACGCCCACATTACACCTGCAATAATTATAGGAGAGTCTTCCTACCATTTTGTACCCGTACGTCGTCCAACTGCGCATGCTCCAGCATTACGCGCTTCTTTTTATCCGAAAGGGATTTCAACATTTTCATAATGCTGCCTGAATCGAGCTGAATCAGGGGAAACGCAACACCTCCGAAGCTATCGAGTATTGCTGCACAGTCCAGCGAGAGATTTTTCTACATTGCCACTTGTTCCCTATTCCTGCAAGACCAATCAGATTGCCGGATTATGCCTGATTCGCGCTGTCGACTGACTGTTTTTGACTCGACTCGAATTGTCTACTGCGCTCGGGTCGTTTCGGCCTACTTGGTCCTGTGCAATGTATCTCACTGTTTTGTGCACACACAAGAGTGACTCATACGATTAGACCCCAATTGTAAGCGCGCTTCCGCTCGCCAAAAATGCCATGCATTCGCCTACTAGTATGTATATAGAAAAATCGCGCCGTTCGGACCACTAGGTTAGCTCGCTTCCGCTCGCCAATCAGCAGGTTTGATAGCATATGTACATTGGCACATTATTGACCTTACAACTCACATGTAGAGTTTGTGCCACATTTTCACACGCGGCCTAGCGATATGCGCCGATCTAGCCAGCGAGAGAACTCTCCTCCATTCGACGGCATTCGCTGCAAACTTAACTTCGTGACTGGCCGAGGTTTCTTCCCAATCTTCATGGTTCGAAGATGCAACTTGGAAATAAGCTGGCATTGCTCTTGTAGATACTGCTGCATGCTTGCTGCCTGCAAGATCACGACTGACGAGCTGAAAGCGTAAGGTAAATACCGTTCTGCTCACCTGCTGGCAATATGCAGTACACATGTAACGGCGACAGGTAGATCTGTCTTGCTTCACGGAAAGCTGTGCGCTGACGGCACGTTATGCAGCCCGAACATCGCGGGCAAATCCCAAGTTGGGTCGTTCCCGCTCGCCAACAACGTTCAACATTCTTCTATAAGGGATCAAATGTGATTATGGAGTATTTATCCAGCAGCACACTTGCCATAAGTGACAAGCTATCGGTTCGCGGATGGCCGGACGTGACTGGTTCGTGAAAGGGGTGCTGCGTTCCATTAGGGTGCGCGTTGATGTGCGCGGGAGCCGACGTAGAACGCCACGGGTGCCGCGGATGCAAGGTAAGCCTGCATTGTCGTCGGTGCACGGTCATGAAACCACACTTCCTGCCGTGGCATGGCACGCACGCACACCAGAGGCACCATGCCAGGCCAGGACCATGCAGGCTTATACATTGTCGGTATGATGAACCGCGTCGCTACCCGCCCAGTCTGCGCGCATGCGCAGAAGAGCGCGAGTCTCTCTCAAGGTTAAAAACTCATGGCTTTCACTCCTTGAGTGCACACACATTAAAATTTGCAAGTGACAAGATCTAAAGAGAGTCTCTAATAATGGCATGCTAATGTCTACGTCCTAAGCAGCAGGATCTCTTTTCCCTTTCTTCATCCTCATCTTCGTCTATATCTAGTGTTATAGAGGGACTGGTTGCTCTCATTGTATGTGGCTGTGTTTGGGAGATAGTGAAACATAGTGTCTAAATGCCTTGTCCCTTACGAAACACCGAAAGCTTAGCAAGTGCTAGTTTCAGACGCTTATATAATAAAAAAGTATATACTGTGACAACACCATAATATCACACAAGGTTGGTGGGGTTATATTATTTGCATGCTGACATAATACGAGCTGGCTACATTTTGTATCTTTTCTACCTACCTGTTTTGTCATGATGTTGCCGACAAGCATAGAAAAAGCCTGCATAGAATAAGATTAAACGGGAGATGACCAATGTAGCTATTTCAAGTAGCTATAATATTATACCTCTTCAATATTTTCATTTCTGAGAGCACTGGTTTCAATGAAAGAAATATTGTGTTCCTGGGCCAGGTTCCTGCCGTCCATGTCCCTGACCTGTCTTCTGTCCTGGAGATCAGTCTTGTTTCCTACCAACACCATCTCTGCATCTCCTACATTCTACCGGGGAAATTTCAGTGTTGAAGAAGAAGCTAAAGTTAAAGCCTCTACCAATGGGACAGTGGCCCGATACAGCTATAATAATTATAAGGCCACTGTTTTGTATTGAAATAGCTCGATAGAAACCTGCGTTATCACTCTGACTATATATACTCACCATGTTTGTTGCCTTGATCCAGTCAGAAGCTACTTTGTAAGACTCACGATGAGTTACATCATACATCACCAGGACACCCTTTATTTGGTAAGTTTAGTAACATCTTAGCTAGCTACTGAAATAAGTACATCTTGCTCATGAAACAGATAAACTAAGAATTTGCCTATGCATTGTTTGCATAACCCCCCAATTCCCAATTCCCAAAAACACTCTCTAAAAGTGTAGTGATTTCATTTTCAATACCTGAGCTCCACGAAAGTATGCCTTTGTCAATGCATTGTACTTCTCCTGTCCAGCACTATCCCTGTGAATAGAAGAGAGGGGATGAGAGTTTGAATAGGCTCGTATACCATAACTCACCATATGTCCAATGTAATAGAGTGATTGTTGTGTTGGACAGTCTTTGTACAGAAATCCATACCTAAGTATATATGATGGTAACACAGGACAACCAAGCAAAACGTAAACATGTATATAGCAATAGCTACAGTTAGTAACTGAATTCATAATTACACAAACTGCATAGAATAGTCATACACTATGACAGTAGCTATAATATTACACATGCAGTTTAGTATTCACTGAATACGCATCATTTCCATACCAACTGTGTACACCTGACTGGCAAATTCTTCTCCGTTGTAGACTCTCAGAGCACATGTCTTCCCCACTCCTGACTGGCCCACCACTAGCAGCTTCAGTTTTATCTCGTTGGGCAACAACTGCACTCTCGGGTGCCTCCTGGAGCGATGCCTCGAGCGATGCCTCTTCTCCATCCTTTTCTCCCTCTCCCGCTCCTTGTGTGCGTGACTACGATGCAGTTCCTTCTCGTAGCTCTGTGTGTACTTTTCCTCCCCACGAAGACTTTTCAGCGTCTGCACCAAACTTGCTGCCGTCGGTCGACCCTCTTCCTCATCGGTGAGGCACTTGAGGCTAACTGGTTTCAGAGGGTGATCATCGGCAATCGTCTCCAATTGCGCAGCACGTCGTTCTACTTCAGGGACTTCTCTGCAGACACCGGGGCTCTGGTGAGGGATTGGTTGGTGTCGATCCGTGGGGTTTGGTTCCTGCCTCGTCACAATTTGTACCGAGAGAACACCAAAGGAAAAGATGTCCAGCTTTGTCGTGTATTGGGGAGGGTTACTGAATGTCTGCGGGGACATGTAATTGACGTTTCCTGGGCATATGGTAAGAGAACGGTTGGGGTTGACTGAATCCAGCTTGGACATCCCAAAGTCGGAAACCTTTACCCTATTTCCAGCCACCATCAAAACGTTGTTTGACGAGAGGTCGCGGTGGATGATGGAATTCTCGTGCAAATACTCGAGAGCACGGCCCACGTCGATACTGATGTTGAGCTCTACGTGATAAGGAAGGGGCTTCGTCGGGGAATGCTCGAGGAACGTTGTCAGGCTTTCACCGCACAGTTCCATGATAAGAACGGGAAAATTCGTGTCGGAGCGGATGATTGTTTGGACGTACTTTACGACGCAATCGTGACTTAGGGATTTTAGGCGCTCGCACTCTGCCTTGAACCTGTCGGTGTAGGTCGCCGTTCCCGGATCGTGTGGGTCAAGCAGAAGTCGGTGGAGGACCTTGGCGGCATACTCTTTCTTGTGGTACTTGATCAAGTAGACTTCACCGTACGATCCTACTCCCAGTTTCTTTACTTCTTCGTAAGGTGCTCTGCTGCTAGCCATTTTGCTCTGTGACAAACAATTAGAGGTAGCTAAAACATTATCTGTACGCGTTTGGCGCTTTTTATCATGCTATAATTTTATGCACAGCCCTATCTTAGACATTTTGCAGTAGTTCTTACCGAGTAATTCAGGACAACACTGAGAAATAGCTTCCAAATTGTGATCGATATGCGGCGGTAGTCCGTCCTATTTCACGCGCGAGGAAGAAATAGTCGTGACGTCAGCATGGGTATAACCCTCTGCCCAATCAGATTGCAGAACGGCGTGGAATTATGTAATCAGTATGCGCAGTTACGCCATAGTTTAGTTGTTGAGCCTCCTGACGCTTTCGCTAATACGGCAAATGCTTGAGAGAGTTCCTTGTCGACTGCACTGGTGCAAGCCATCGCAGGATTAGTAGTGTACAGCTGGTAACGGAGCTAAGAGCGTTCCCCGGACCCCACAACGTGGAAAAGTTAGGGTGTTGTGTAACCACCGCATTCCAGGGGTATATATTATACAGGTCGTCGATGCTAACGTCACCTGACTATTGCTTCCCCGTCGTGAAATAGGCAGCCCGACTAGCGCGCGGCGGGCGACTGGGTACGCGCATGCGCATTATTGAAAGGTCGTTTCTACGGTCGCGCTTTCATCTCTGCGCCACCGGCTAAACCTTTACCACACCACTGCAGCAGCACAATACCGACAGTGAAAAAAACATTTTATGGCGTCGTCGGATACTTTAGCCAACGACGTCAGTTTCAGCGACTTTATAAAACCACGCCCACATTACACCTGCAATAATTATAGGAGAGTCTTCCTACCATTCTGTGGAACAGGATGCCAGTAGTCAAGAGAGCCCACTCTAGTGATATATCAGCAGGTTTGATAGCATATGTACATTGGCACATTATTGACCTTACAACTCACATGTAGAGTTTGTGCCACATTTTCACACGCGGCCTAGCGATATGCGCCGATCTAGCCAGCGAAAGAACTCTCCTCCATTCGACGGCATTCGCTGTAAACTTAACTTCGTGACTGGCCGAGGTTTCTTCCCAATCTTCATGGTTCGAAGATTCAACTTGGAAATAAGCTGGCATTGCTCTTGTAGATACTGCTGCATGCTTGCTGCCTGCAAGATCACGACTGACGAGCTGAAAGCGTAAGGTAAATACCGTTCTGCTCACCTGCTGGCAATATGCAGTACACATGTAACGGCGACAGGTATATAGATCTGTCTTGCTTCACGGAAAGCTGTGCGCTGACGGCACGTTATGCAGCCCGAACATCGCGGGAAAATCCCAAGTTGGGTCGTTCCCGCTCGCCAACAACGTTAAACATTCTTCTAGTAAGGGATCAAATGTGATTATGCAGTATTTATCCAGCAGCACACTTGCCATAAGTGACAAGCTATCGGTTCGCGGACGGCCGGACGTGACTGGTTCGTGAAAGGGGTGCTGCGTTCCATTAGGGTGCGCGTTGATGTGCGCGGGGGCCGACGTACAACGCCACGGGTGCCGCGGATGCAAGGTAAGCCTGCATTGTCGTCGGTGCACGGTCATGAAACCACACTTCCTGCCGTGGCATGGTACGCACGCACACCAGAGGCACCATGCCAGGCCAGGACCATGCAGGCTTATACCTTGTCGGTATGATGAATCCCGTCGCTACCCGCCCAGTCTGCGCGCATGCGCAGAAGAGCGCGAGTCTCTCTTTCAAGGTTAAAAACTCATGGCTTTCACTCCTTGAGTGCACACACATTAAAATTTGCAAGTGACAAGGTCTAAAAAGAGAGTCGCTAATAATGGCATGCTAATGTCTACGTCCTAAGCAGCAGGATCTCTTTTCCCTTTCTTCATCCTCATCTTCGTCTATATCTAGTGTTATAGAGGGACTGGTTGCTCTCATTGTATGTGGCTGTGTTTGGGAGATAGTGAAAGATAGTGTCTAAATGCCTTGTCCCTTACGAAATACTGAAAGCTTAGCAAGTGCTAGTTTCAGACGCTTATATAATAACAAAAGTATATACTGTGACAACACCATAATATCACACAAGGTTGGTGGGGTTATATTATTTGCATGCTGTCATAATACGAGCTGGCTACATTTTGTATCTTTTCTACCTACCTGTTTTGTCATGATGTTGCCGACAAGCATAGAAAAAGCCTGTATAGAATAAGATTAAACGGGAGATGACCAATGTAGCTATTTCAAGTAGCTATATACCTCTTCAATATTTTCATTTCTAAGAGCACTGGCTTCAATGAAAGAAATATTGTGTTCCTGGGCCAGGTTCCTGCCGTCCATGTCCCTGACTTGTCTCCTGTCCTGGAGATCAGTCTTGTTTCCTACCAACAGCATCTCTGCATCTCCTAAATTCTACCGGGGAAATTTCAGTGTTGAAGAAGAAGCTAAAGTTAAAGGCCCTACCAATGGGACAGTGGCCTGATATATAAGGCCACTGTTTTGTATTGAAAACAGAACACTCACGGGAGGCGAGGAAAACAGCGTTATCATTCTGACGACTCACCATGTTTGTTGCCTTGATCCAGTCAGAAGCTACTTTGTAAGACTCATGATGAGTTACATCATACATCACCAGGACACCCTTTATTTGGTAAGTATAGTAACATCTTAGCCAGCTACTGACAATAAGTACATCTTGCTCATGAAACAGATAAACAAAGAATTTGGCTATGCATTGTTTGCATAACCCCCAATCCCAAAACACTGTCTAAAAGTGTTATTATAGTAATTTCATTTTCAATACCTGAGCTCCATGAAAGTATGCCTTTGTCAATGCATTGTACTTCTCCTGTCCAGCACTATCCCTGTGAATAGAAGAGAGGGGATGAGAGTTTGAATAGGCTCATACCATAACTCACCATATGTCCAATGTAATAGAGTGATTGTTGTGTTGGACAGTCTTTGTACAGAAATCCACACCTAATATGATGGTACAGTGATGTGCAGGACAACCCAGCAACCGTAAATGTGTAGGTACATCTACAGTTAGGAACTGCTGTCTTTGAATGTATTATGTTCATTATTATACAAACTGTATAGAAAAGTGATACACTATGACAGTATAGCTATAATATTACACATGCACTTTAGTATTCACTGAATACGCATCATTTCCGTACCAACTGTGCACTCCTGACAGGCAAATTTTTCTCCGTTGTAGACTCTCAGAGCACATGTCTTCCCCACTCCTGACTGGCCCACCATTAGCAGCTTCAGTTTTATCTCGTTGGGCAACAACTGCACTCTCGGGTGACTCCTGGAGCGATGTCTCGAGCGATGACTCTTCTCCATCCTTTTCTCCCTCTCTCGCTCCTTTTGTGCGTGACTACGATGCAGCTCCTTCTCGTAGCTCTGTGTGTACTTTTCCTCCCCACGAAGACTTTTCAGCGTCTGCACCAAACTTGCTGCCGTCGGTCGACCTTCCTCCTCATCGGTGAGGCACTTGAGGCTAACTGGTTTCAGAGGGTGCTCATCAGCAATCATCTCTAAATGCGCTGCACGTCGCTTCACTTCAGGAACTTCTCTGCAGACACCGGGGCTCTGGTGAGGGATTGGTTGGTGTCGATCCGTGGGGTTTGGTTCCTGCCTCGTCACAATTTGTACCGAGAGAACACCAAAGGAAAAGATGTCCAGCTTTGCCGTGTATTTGGGAGGGTTACTGAATGTCTGTGGGGACATGTAATTGAGGTTTCCTGGGCATATGGTGAGGGAACGGTTGGGGTCGACTGAATCTAGCTTGGACATCCCGAAGTCGGAAACCTTTACCCTATTTCCAGCCACCATCAAAACGTTGTTTGACGAGAGGTCTCGGTGGATGATGGAATTCTCGTGCAAATACTCGAGAGCACGGGCCACGTCGATACTGATGTTGAGCTCTACGTGATAAGGAAGTGGCTTCGTGGGGGAATGCTCGAGGAACTTTGTGAGGCTTTCACCGCACAGTTCCATGATAAGAACGGGCAAATTCGTGTCGGAGCGGATGATTGTTTGGATGTACTTTACGACGCAATCGTGACTTAGGGATTTTAGGCGCTCGCACTCTGCCTTGAACCTGTCGGTGTAGGTCGCCGTTCCCGGGTCGTCTGGGTCAAGCCGAAGTCGGTGAAGGACCTTGGCGGCATACTCTTTCCTGTTGTACTTGATCAAGTAGACTTCATCGTACGATCCTGCTCCCAGTTTCTTTACTTCTTCGTAAGGTGCTCTACTGCTAGCCATTTTGCTCTGTGACAATTAGAGGTTATACAACTAAAACATTATCTGCAAGTGTTTTGGCGCTTTTGATCACGCTACATTTTTATGCACACCCTAACTTAGACATTTTGCAGTGGTTCTTACCGAGTAATGCAGGACAACACTGGTTTTGGGATAGCAAAAAGACGAATCGCTGCCAAATTGTGCGGTGGCGGGCCGGCCCGGGGCGGGCGACGGCTGGGTACGCGCGCATGCGCATTATTATGCAGACCAGGTGGAAAGGTCGCCTTCTTCATCTCTGCGACACCGGCTAAACCTCACCACACCACAGCGCAATACCGACAGTGAAGCCAGTTTATGGCGTCGTCGGATACTTTAGCCAAAGACGTAAGTAAAAGGCGTTTGTTTTCAGTAGTATTATAACTTCCTCAGACTTTTCTGAAACCACGCCCACATGACATCTGCAATAATTATAGGAGAGTCTTCCTACCATTCTGTGGAACCGGAGGCCAGTAGCAAAGAGAGCCCACTCTAGTGATATCAGCAGGTTGGATGACATACTTTGGCACATTTATTGACTCACATTTCAGAACCACAAGTGCTGCCTTCCTGGTAGCCTTTATAAACTCGTGATGCCAGAGAAAAGTTGCGTATGCTCTGTTGATGAGGGCCAACAAGCCCGAAACAGCTGTCCAGAGCTCCCCATCTTTTTCTCTTGGCATCACATGGTCTAATATCTTCATGAGAGTATATATATACACATTGCTGAAAACGAAGTATGTACATATACATATACACACTACATAAAAGGGTAGAAATGAATGAAACTAAGAAAGATCAGTTGTTTACACTGTAAATATCCACATATAGTTTTTGCATGGTTCCTGGAGCTCTGTGCTAATTATCTCTGTAGTGATGAAGGGGCAGGAGGTGACGAGGACTATTTCGCAGCGTCTCGACTGTACGAGTACCGCTGGCCACCGGAGCAGGAGAGAGCTGAGCTCTACTTCCTCCAGGAACAGGTGGCAGAGTTCCTACGAATACGAGGAATACAGCGGAAGTACCCAGGTCAGCTGCAACCTTATTGGCGGCCAATCGAGCCTACCTAGTCGTTTGAATGCAGGTGTTTTTTCCTTTTTTATAATGTGGTGGCCCACACTGCTGCTGCAGATTACCATAGTTTTGTACGTGGTTCTAAATGATGTGGGAATTAACAACATTCTGAATTGCATTCAGTCTAGTGTTCGAAATTGCCAACCCCCCCTCCTATAATCTATAGAAGAGGCTGTGCATAACTTAGCCGGTTCCATATGGGGTAAATGATGCCCGCAGCACACATGATGTAATGATGACATACGAGCAGTCTTCTGTGCCCTATGTCAACCTGTCCCTGTATTGTACACACCCATGCACACACACTGCTGAAAGAAAAAGAGTACTGTTTACTATCTATACAAGGTAGATTCATGCATACTAGCATGTGCTTTTTGGCACACAATCTCTGGCTAATGTACACAGAGACACATGAGAAGCTGTTCCGTTGGCAGGGGATTCATCCTTTACATTAGTACCAATGGCAGACATAACCTCAAGATTGCCCTCAGTCGAAAATGCAGACGTACATACAACCGCAGTGTACGTAGACATATTGAGGACGGTGTATGTTTGCCAGCCAGTGATGGATTCCTGGGCCGCCATGACACATAGAAGATCCCGTGGGATTGGTAGCTAGATGTTTTGTATGCACACAGTTGTCAGACATAAGTAGGCACATACTTCATCCCACGATGGTATGTAAAGTATGTGCCTACTGTGCTATGTATTGGTAGCTAGATGTTTTGTACACACACAGTTGACTACTGCATAATTTTTACTATGTAGCTACACTACGTGGGGCGGCACTAATAGGAACCACGATAGTGCACCACGTTTTTACTGCGTAAGTCATTTTATTCCAGATTCTATTTTTCTACCACGTTTTTACCGCTACAAGTAAGTCATTCTATGTTTTTCTACCATGTGTTTACTGCTACAAGTGAGTCATTCTACCTTGTTTTTTGCGTCCAGTAAGTAAGCTAGATTCTATTTTTCTATTTTTCTACAATGCTACCAATTTCTTTTTTCTACCATCTGTGTTTGTGTATATATTTATATGTATCGTACTCTACATGTGTTGTCGTGACTGTACTATCGTACAGTTACTCACTGTGTGGCTGTCATTGTTTGTGATGTGGAGTTTGGATGCTGGGTGTGTGGGGAGAGTTGGCTAGCCATAAAAGACTCTTTAACCCACCGTCCCGGTTCTCAAGGCTGGGCACCCAGTGTCCTACTATCATGTCATGTCATGTGTATTTGTGTATGTGTTTTGTGTGGATATTTTGGGGTTTGTAAATATGGTGGTGGTGGTTTTTATTTATTTCTCTATCTATCTATCTATCTATATACCTATGGCTGGTATGCTATGAACTATAATTTCATACATACATACACATACATACATACATACATATATACATACATACCTTTGTACAGATCTTGTGAGAAGGAATGTTGATGTACCGGAAAAGAAGTATCTGATGCACAAAGGAGTGGTGACTGAGACACAGAGCAACATGGGTATATACCCACACATAGGACAAATATTCACGCTATATAGCTGCTCTGCATCATGTATGTTTGTGTGTATGCTTCAGGCCTGGAGACTTTCTGCCTTTTTGCAAAAAGTCTGGATTACTGAGTACTACAGTATGTTGAATTCGCATGAAAGATGGTGAATTCATGGTACATGTGCACAAAGGAAATTGCCCGAGGCTATTTTTAGCAGTTTACAAACATGCAATGTTCTTTGGGATGATGTGAATGGTACAATGCACAATATGTAAATCAAAACATCAGTATACAAATGCAAATCAGTGTGTGTGTGTGTGTGTGTGTGTGTGAGTGTGTGTGTGTGTGTGAGTGTGTGTGTGTATAGCAGTGTGTGTGTTGTGTTGTGTGCAGGTCTGGTGGCTGTGAGGAGTGAGGATGTACTGGAGGTCATGAGTGAAGACTTTCCTGACAAGTAAACAATCACTTGACATGTACACATCTCTACTCTTTGTAGTGTAGCTGGTATAAAAGGCATTATAATAGTGAAGTCAGTATAGGTTTGCCATGGGCTCTATTCTATTGTAGTGCTATAGGCCTTACATGTTCCATATGGTCTCTGTCTTGGCAAGCTAAGGTCATAACATTGTCAATGGAAAGTCCCTGGGATATCCCCCCCCCCATCCTACCATAACAGTACACAGCATGGCCTTATGTTACAATGTACATTTTCCTGCCTTCCTCCTAGCAAACATAACTTTCATTTCATGCCTGAGAATGTTGCAAAGTAAGCCAAATGCAACAGGCATCTGTGCCTAACGGATCGTTCCTGTACTTTGTCACTATATGCAACTCCTCACTAAAGTCCAGAATCTCACTCCCAATCACATTAAAGTAGGTGAATAGTTCATACTAATTCATAAGCCAAGGAAGAAGAAATAGAAATAACCCACCAATTCTTTGAGAGCTTACTCTACATGTGCTATGAACGAGAGAGCTTGAGGTGGTATACACAATATATAGCTAGAGTATATTTCTGTCGTTAGCTAAACATGTAAGCATAGCCTAGTTCACCAGATTACCCTGCACGTCTCGATACCTATCAGATCTCATGCCTTGTGGACTTAATGAATAGTGATGAGAAGAATTTAGGAACAAAATGAAAGAGCATTAAAGTGCAAACCATCGGCGAACTGTGCATGCATGCGCGCTACCGCTAATTTTGATGGGCTTGGCTAGTAATGTGTTTACCCGTGGTCTCCCGCTGGTACAGCTTGCGGAGAGTCTGACAATGGCTAGCTACAGTAGTAGATACCATGCGGGAGTCAATACACGACCTCCGTTGTGACTTCTTGTGCCTTCAAGATACACAGAGAGAGCGAACCCGCTCGAGGTTTCTAATTAGAATATTGGCTTTTTTGCTCGTGTATCACGCAGCAGTTTCAGAGAAAACCCCACTTATTTTTCGACCTATACCCAACGCTGAATACATGGTATTGTTTGTGGAGCGATTCATGGCTCGTGAAGTGAGATGTCAAGTAACGGACTGACAGACTGACAGACTGACAGACACACACGACAACTACCTTAACCCTCGCTGCGCATGCGTGCCGAGGGTTAAATATCGGCTCTACCAGTGGGATTCAAACCCACCACCTTTTTCTCTGTGAGAGAGCTAGAGATTACCCTCTTCCAATGAATGGCGAGCAAAGCAAACCCATCTGAGATGTCTGAATGCTGGAATTTTTACATGAAAAAACATGTTTGTAACATACTAGTGGAAAAGAAAGAACCTTAACCCCCCACCCAAATTAATACATTCATAGAAAACATATACATGTGTAAGAAAAAATATAAGAATAGAAATGTCAGACAGTAACATATAAACAGAAATAGAGAGGCAGAACCCTGGGTGCCCAGCCTTGAGTAGGTTAAAGAGTCTTTTATGGGCCCAATTCTCCCTATACACCCATGCACATATGTGTAACAGCGAATGGACGGGCGCACATACGTATGTACATGTAGTGCTTACAGGATTCCAATTTAGCACGGAAACACAGGCTAAATATTGAATTGCTCCATTCGCTCGCCAAAATGCATTGTATTCGTTTAGTTAGTATCATTACAGTTGAAGTTGTTATATGCATGCTACATAGAGTGAATGTCGGTCATGTGGTGTTGTCTGCAGGTACCAAGAGTACATGGCTGTAGTCCAGGAGAGAGAGTTCCAGAACACTCTCCAACGCCGTATACTGGAGACACGAAAAATTGCCCTCATGAGGGAACAACAGGTGCATTGTACTTTACGTTTCGTGCTGTTTTTATGTTTTTGTTGGGCAGTAAGTGTGTCATCGTATTCTCCTAAACGGGACTATGTGAATGATGTGGACACTTTGTAACTGAAAGCTTCCAACATCCATAAAATACGCTCGAAATTTCTTAGGTATGTAAGTGCACATTTATCATACTGGGGAACTAGGTACATAAATAATAGTTAGATGCTGATTCGAAGTAACTACGCGCAGTAGAAAGCCAAGAGCCCCGGCATTGTGGTGCCCCGAGCGCAGCGAGGGCGCTACCCCCAGAGCACGAGGCTTTCTACTGGCGCGTGGTTACCGAGGAATCAGGGTCTAACTATTTTAGAGTGAGCGCTTCACGTTGAGCGCTCTGGCTTTCGTATGGCGGAGCGCTTCTAACGATGACTGGGTGGGAGATTGGCTCAGAGTGCCAGAAAGTGCAGTGCAAGAAGACTCCGCCTTCTTTTTCTGGTTGTACGCGTGACGGTTCTGCGTGCAGGGGGGTCTGCACGTGCGCGTGGACGACGCGTCAATGTAGATTCAGTTGTTGATTTTGTTGTTTACATGTACATTTTGTTATTACCCTCGGCGCGCATGCGCAGGGAGGGTACTGTAGTTGGGTCTGTCTGTTTGTCTGTCTGTTAGTCTATATCTCACTCCTCGAACGTCTGTTCGTCCCAGAAACGATACCATCTACCCAACGGGCGACGAAGGTCAGAAAATAAAGGCGGTTTTCTCTGAAAATGCTCCGTTGCAAAGCTAGAGCGCGAAAAAGCCAATATGCAAATACACAACGGACGGGATGGCTTACCACAGTCGGATCGATCCGCGTGCTCTGCGTACTTCGGAGGCACCAGAAGATGCAACGCAGGGCGTGTATCGCCTCTCGCATGCTATCTAGTAGTGTAGTTAGCCCGTGTCAGACTCTGCGTGAGCTGGCAAGAGACCACGAGTAACAGCTAAAACTAAACCCAGCCCATCAATTAGTGGTACGGCGCATGCGTTTACTTACGCGTGCGCGTCACAGTGCGCCGAGGGTTTGCACTTCAGTGCTTTTCATGTATTCCTGTTTTAACTGTAGTTTCTGTACTTTCTGTAGGTTTACTATATTATAGTAAACCCCGTCGAGGTTTACTACGGGAAATAGTAAACCTCGGCTTTGCAATCTGATTGGTCAATTCGAACCTAGCTCACTCTAATATGCCTTAGAGGTTTTGCTACATAGCCTTGTCTTCACCATTAAGAGTTCAAAGGTGGCGGCAGATTAAAGGTTAATAACGCCTATGAAAAGTATGGGCTGCCATTTGTAAATGTTGTGTGCTGAATATTGATAGCCTTTCTCGGAAACTAACATATTGTGAGTTATTAATGTGTTGGTGACAACAATACGTACCTAGAGTGGGGACGGTGAGGATGTGAGGAGTGTGAGGAGTGCAGCAGTGAGGGAGATGGTGGAATTCAACAAGAGACTAGCCCTCCAGCGACGACAGAACCACAGCACCCTCCACGACAGACAGACCAAGGTAACCACTCGACACTTCTTGCTACATGCTTTTCGTTTAAAAGAGCTATGACACGGGTGTTTGCATATGGGGTTTGCATATTTGAGAACTTGCACACATCCAGCAAAAAGTAGCTATATTGTATATACCACGGCAGCATTGATGCCATAGCTAGAAACCACCAACTCTGTGAAAGAATGGGAGACTGGAGGGCCAGGGCTGTCTGCCTCGTGTATTATACTATGCACGGAAGGGCGTGGCTCTTGAATATCAGCTACGTACAGACCGCGTATACGGAACCCGTGCTATCACTAAGTACGGTAGTACTTAGTATATAGGGATTGACATGGTACCTAGCATCATAGATGTATGGGGCTATGATAGGGAGTTTTGTTCATCTTCTTCTTCTTCTTCTTCTTCTTCTTCTTCCTGTTCAATAGGGTTGAGCCCATTATGCTAATTTTTTTACCCATTATTCTATTCCGCAATTCTCGTAAATCTTTCCTATTATTTCTCCTCGCTGCCCCTATTATTCCCTTCGAGCTGGCATCCGCTAAACCCTTGCGCAAAAAGGGGGGCGTGTAGAAAGAGGAAAATTGCGGAGTCTGTACTTTTGTTCGCGCGGTTTTGCTGTCTCTAGCCTTCCCGTGGAGTCATGCGCTTCATTTTCGCTCTTTTTGCAGTGGAGATATCCAGGGTAAGTTCTCCATCTTTACGCAAAACCGCGGAAGGGCAGAAGCTCCGGCAGAAGATCGCGCAAACGCCTACACGCAATTCCGACCTATTATTCCCAGAATTATGCTTTTTCTGGGCAGCCCCTATTATTCCAAAAATTATGCCAGCATATTGGGCGCCAGCCTACTGTTCAACCAGCATAACTCAAAAACCGAAAGAGATGAAAAGCACTGAAGTGCAAACCCTCGGCGCACTGTGACGCGCACGCATAAGTAAACGCATGCGCCGTACCAGGTTTAGTTTTAGCTGTTACTCATGGTCTCTTGCCAGCTCGCGCAGAGTCTGATGCGGGCTAACTACACTACTAGATAGCATGCGAGAGGTGATACACACCCTGCGTTGCATCTTCTGGTGCCTCCGAAGTACGCAGAGCACGCAGATCGATCCAACTATAGTAAGCCATCCCGTCCGTTGTGTATTTGCATATTGGCTTTTTCGCGCTCTAGCTTTGCAACGGAGCAGTTTCAGAGAAAACCGTTCGAAAATTCTGACCTTCATTGCCCGTTCAGTAGGTGGTATCCTTTGTGAGACGAAAGAACACTCGAGAAGTGAGATGAAGAGTAACAGACAGACTGACAGACACACAGACAGACCCAAGTACTGTAACCCTC